GTGATCCGGCAATCAGGATACGATTTCGTCGTTATCTTAACTCTACTGGATCTGGGGCGAGGATTTGGTCAACAGATGAATCACCAATGGTGGTTCAATATAACGGGGCTTACTAAGGGTTGGAATTTAAAATCATGATATCTGTTGGTAGAGAGTTCGAAATAAATCTATTTTACTGTTTCCATTAGTCTCAAACTATGCTATTTCGTAATCCTTTTATTACTTAAGTCTCATGGCCAAATTTCACCTCGCAAAATAGATTATTCAGTTAACAATATTATATGACGAAAGTCTTTTGAAGTCACAAACAAAGATTGGTCCTCACGATCTTGTAAGGTTTGAAACATAAATAAATGTGAAATTAAGTCCTTTGTATCGATATTTTGAAACTAAAACTCTTTATAAAAGGTATTGTTTACACTTAAGGATTGCTAGTGCTGCTATAGCTGACGGTTTTTAAGTTACTTATCTTTTCCGATTATATCACAGTTTATTAACTTTATATACTACTCACATTCATTTCAATATACAAATTTTCTTCAATGCATAGACCTCTAATATGTATGAACAAAATCTACCACGCACACAAATAAGAAATTCTATTCTGGACCGAGAAAGGTTTCATTATAATGTATATTATCTATACGGACTGTATTTCATAGAATGATATAACCAGGATTGCGTTGCATATAACACTGTCAAAGCACTTCTTTACCCTTTTTTCCCTTTTTTGGACACCCCAAAAAATTCTCTGAAGCCATCACCGAATAACTCACAATTTCAACAATGTTACAATTTTATGAAAATGGTGATTTACAAGGCCCGACCGACTATCTCAACGAATGGACCGATGCCCGATGGGAAGAAGCTTACAGGTGTATTCCGTACTGTAAAGAAACAAAAGAGTCACTAGAAGACTTACTTGCAAATGTTCGAGTTTTGGTTCAAATGCACAGCGATCTTCTCTATAATCCGTACAGAACCAGCAACAATCCCGGAAGACAGAGATCATATTGGGATATTTACTATCCTTGGTATCAAAATGATCTGACGCAAAACACATCTTCACTCAAATATAGTCTAAGGAGATTCTGGACATCTGGCGTTGGGAAACAATTTGCTGAACCGTATAAAGGGAGATTGGAACTTATGGTTCCAAGTAGTATTCAGGTCAGAGTTTGGAGAATCATTAATTCTCAATTCGATTCTTTACAGACATATTGTTCAATGCTTGGCAGAGGTGAGACTCTCCAGATGATTCGAAAGACTTTGAATCCAACTGGATCTGGTGCGCAAGTTCTCTCGGTAACCATGTTACCAAAGATTCCTGTGGTTCTTCGTAATCCAACTTATCGAACACTTTAGTAAAGTCTTTTTTGTTTTTCTTCAAAGCAACAGTTGACCTTCCCCCCCCTCTTGCTCAATTCTTATAACTATTCAAGCATTTATTCGAGAACTTTCCACTGAGAGGAGAGATGTTTTATTTTCTGAAGTAAAAAATAATAGAAAACAATAATAAAAATACCAAAACTATAATACCGTAACAGGGTCAAAAAGAAAGAATTGTAATCAAGTTCAGAGTCAGCTCGATTGAATCTAATACTTTCCATGAAACAGTCATCCTTTAAAATGACCGTGAAGACGAACTTTTCTTTAACTCGTATTGTGACATTATTATTATCGGAATGAACGGGAGAGGTTAGAACAATTAAACATATAGTACACATTGTGATAGGCTCCGTTCCCGTGCTGAATTTCCCTTATACAGAACTTTGTTATCCCTAGAACACGTATCTTTTGCACGTAGTTCAAATCACAATCCAAATTATTATCCCCAGGACTCAGTGTCCGACCCACCTCAGACATAGAATGGCTTTCCTTGCAAATACATCTCCGTCACCATTGTCTCCAAATGATACTTTGCACCAACCAAAGATGGCCTGATGTTGTGTGGCGTCGCAAGAGTAATCGAGCGCTCCATTCGGTGTCGCTGGATTCTCGTCGCTGAAGGAGGCATATGCGCCCTGCTCCTGCTCCTCGGCGCCGTCAGCTGCAGAGGAAGAGCTAGTGGAACAGAATATTAGCAGTTTCAACATCAGATGTGTGAATGTTTTGCATTTATTCCCGCTTTGTTTCTTCTTTCTTTTACCCTCTTTCCGAGTGAAGGACCCAACATCGGGGTAGGCGCAAGGGTGCTCGTCGAGGCGTGGGTATCCACTATCGGTGATAATTTTGATTAGAATAGTAGGGAAATGTCTGCCTTCTGTGCCAAAAAGCTCTATCCTCTAAGCTGTGATCTAACCTATAAGTCGTTGTGTTACACAACCAGCGGTAATGATATAAATTACATGTTTTCTGTGCCGAGTGATATTCTATGATTCGCCCTTGATATGCGAGCGTTCTCGAGTGGGAGGTGATACCTAACCCCAGAGAAACTCTTCATAAATGCTAGCCGGGGGGTTGTCTGGTGGTTGAGCTATGAGAGACATGTGCGGTGTTATGTTCTTGAGGCGGTGCTTCATAATTGATGAATTAAACAGCTAAAAAAAAAAAGGCGGTGCTTCATGAAGTATCACTCGATGATCCTGTCCGCAACCAGGAATTAGAAGATTCTCAAAATTGAGCACACATCACTAACTGTACGAGTAAACCGAAAGAAAGAGAGAAGTCCATGTAGGGTGAGGACCTTAGTTATGATTCTTGATCGGAGAGTCGGTCGATGGTATTGGAAAATGACTCACAGAATCATTATTTCCATATGTCTGAGTTTAGGTCTCCGACCTCAATGAGAAGAGTTATATCGAACCATAGTAAGACTCTAAGCGTTTTACGGATACCCGGCGCGAGGTGAATGTGTTACGTGGCTGAAAAGCATAACCGTTTAATCTCTAATGATATGTAAGCGGAGTTAAACCAAAATAAAAGGGTCTATCCTTTCCATGTCCATCTCCATTCCAAGATTTTACCCCCGTACTACTATGTGAAAGAATGTAGAGCAACCAATGGTATCTGCTGTCATTGCTCGCATGCCCATTTGTGACGCCTTTCTTTTCTCTGCCTGTTTTCCCAATGGTAAGCCTCAAAACTATATCGTTAGCTGAATAAACAACACCGGAGAAATTAAGCCCCACTTCTCTCAACCCGCAAATGGCGCGAGATAAGACGAACTCATGCATGATATCAGGCTCGCCATCTTGCCATCTCATCATCTCGCCGAAATCTATCATCCCGTATACCCGCGATTTGCGATGGGCGTGTCGTTGGCGTTCGTTCGTAAGTTACCGGCAGCTTGAATGCACCGCTTTGGTACCGCGGGGTGTATTGATAATCTCCACGTCTTCGGCGGCCTTCATGTTCAGCAAAAGCGGGTGTCTGGTAACAGATTTCTGCATAGGAGAAGAGGCCGGGCGGATATTACATCTCCCGCGGCGTCCACCAATTAAAGTACTTGTAGGTATGTGATGGAGCAAAGTACCTGTGGTAAAATGTTAGGCCAGAGATTAGTTAGGCTGCGGGTCGGGTTCCGACTTACTATCTTATTGCTTGTGCAACAACGGGTTATTCGATCAGTTTGTCGGGGGTCTGTCGTTGACACAACTGCGGCGAACCCGCCCGTTGGGCGGTAGCCGGTCCCGCCGATTCACACGGTAGCCGAGAAGACCAACGCCCCCACAGCCTACGGGGCCTTAGTATTCTGAATTCGGTATAAGGGCAAGAGGGTATCTATCCGACTATATAGACCTCACCTGGGCCAAGAAAGAATTATGACAGAGGAAAGTTATATTTGCACCCTTCGTCGAGCACCGACGAGGTGTGGTGGGACACGGAGGTACTGCTGTTGGTGCTTTTCCGTGTTAACACATATAAGTGCGGATCAGCATTGAAAGGAAAGCTGGTGAAAACGGGAACGAGTGTATGATGTACTGGTACTGTAGTGGGATGAAATATATGCAGACTCCATGGGTACAGAGCCAGATACAGTGCATAATTAAAGTATATGTAGGCGGTATTGGGCCCGGGGTGTTCGGGGTGTTCGGGGTGGCGCGATTACATGAAGCGGTGCACGTGCACTGCCACACCGAGAGGCTCGAGCAGCAGGGAAGGCAACGTGGCCAAATGAGGGTAACAACATCCTCCAGGCGCCTCCTCCTCGCCTACCTGTCCTTTCTGGATCAACCTCGAGGTTCAACACCATGAATTGTGGATCTCGTGGGAAACAAAAAACACAGTATGTATTCCAATCAAAAAGCATATTCTGTCCTTGGACAGTTGGCTTCATTGTTCCATCTCGATCGGCCAGATTATAACATAGGTGTATAATACAGTGGCCTCTCGATATAAGGATACGGTCGGGACCGAAAAGCTGTATTGAATACAGTACCTATATTCTTATAAGGGGAGTATCACTATATGGCATATCACTGTGCCGGGGGTGCTGAATACAGCACCTATATTCCTATAAGGGGGGTATCACAATATGGCATATCATTGTGCCGGGGGTGCTGGGTGCAGCACCTATATTCCTATAAGGGGAGTATCACAATATGGCATATCATTGTGCCGGGTGTGGTGTGTGTGCCTTATTCTTGTAAGGGGAGTATCACTATATGGCATATCATAGTGCCGGGGGTGGTGTATGTGTCAAGAATTGTCGAGGCAAGGATCGACAGGTACGTACTTTTTCCTCGAGACTCCTTGTTTGTCTTTTTCGAGGCCGGCAAGGACAGGTAGTTCCCTAGCGAGGTCCTCGTGGACCACACTAGGCCGCCGCCAGCGTCAAAGTTATAAGTGTTATCTGCAGTAGTACTTACTTGTTACATAGGACAGATGCCATGTCTACACCGCCCACAGGAAACATCACCTCTTCCGCCTGGTATTTATAACCCCCACCTTCCGTTCAATCTCCTACCTTTCTTCTTAACCTCCTATCTCCTCTAAATCTCAATACCAACATTATCTTTCCAGAATATACCGACATCAAATCTTCGATTCCTTTCACAATGACCAAATCTGTTCGTAGACAGCAACAAAAAGAGAAAGCTAGACGACACCTTGAGGATGGTACACGCATAGTATCCGCGACACCCTCAATAGACGGATCAGATGTGACGGTATTAACCAAAGAAACGGAGAAAGAAATGGTAGAGATTATCAAGCATACTCATCATGCCGGCTCAGCAAATTGTGTCAAAGTCAAAGTATTCGGTCAAATCGGAGCGCACTGCTTTCCCTACCACACAACCTGGTGTCCCAACTGCGATACCGCTTCTATCAAGGCTGAATTAACCACCATGCTGAATCATAATTCCAACTTTCTAACCAGATTTGGCAAATTTAATCTTGAGACCCTGATGATGCATAAGCGTTCGATCGATACGTACGATGTGGCTCTGAATTCGGATATTGAAAAGATCAAGGAGTTGATTCCGGCAATGATCCAATGCGGCGGAAACATTCGCTTGAAAACTACTTTTGTTGCTGAAGAGGTGAGTTCGTGATCCAAAATTGTCTCCCCTCTACTAATCGAGATCATCCAGTGGGCTACTTGGGCATTCTTGGGACTGGCCAGCGCGTTAGGCACCGCTTTGTGTGTCCTACTGACTGAACTGTCACCATCAAATCTTCTTCTTTTCCTCTTTGGTAAGCAGATCTCTATGCTATTGAAATAATCAGTGATGCTAAACCAAACTAGGGATCATCGTCGCAAGAGTGTTTTGATTCGTGCTAGACTACCACTAGTGAACGGGAAGGAATCGGGAGGAGAATCTCAATCTTCAAATTGAGATGTTATTTTTACAGACCACCGTCATCCTTATTCGAAACTGTCAACTGTACTACTGTAAGTCCTATCCTATCTTCCATATGCTTAAAGTTTTTAAATGTTTATAAAAATACTAACGCTATTTCACTTGGCTTTAGACATCGAAACTACGATATCATGGAGTTCACAATGTACAACAGACTGAGACCTAAGGCTTACGCTTTAGCTCCTACATAGAATAGTAGCTTGAGCTAGCTTGGGAGATAACTGCAGAAAGTGTATTCCTTGAGATACCTGAGTATCCGTTTGTACTTTAGCTCCTGCATACAATTAATGAATTATCAATCAATTTGTACTTTCGCTCCATCCCAGTTTCGTGATTGTTTTTTCTTACTTCACTTGCATGTGATCAACACGGCCTCTTGGGACACGCCCAATTAACGTTGAACCTGACAGCAGTTTACTCGTCATACATAAGTCCAGAAGTGAGAATAATCGGTCCGCCCTCCAGCGAGCGTTGCCCACTGTTTTTCCCGCTACCCGAAGGATGCAACATTTGCCACGCACCAAGATTGAGGCAGACGTTTATTAAGGAGCTTCGCTAGCTGGAGAGAGGGCTGGTTTAATTGATGTCGTGTGGGGCGATTGATTTTTTTTTATTTGTTCCGAAGAATCATAGGGTATCACTCGGGGCTGAGAGCTCCTCCATTTACGAGGACTGGTCTACTCGACTCGTGAGATCACCTCTACTCGTGGCGAAACTCGAGCACCCCAGCGGGTGTATTTAATATCCTACATAGTGCCTAATAAGGCAAAGTATTGAAAATTCTCTTTGTGGAAAATGGGTTTTTGGTTCCGATTGAATATTATAGTCTTTAATCTGTGAACATGTGCTAAAGTTCTAGATAACTAGAGAGCTCGAGCAACTCGAGTCAGTTTTCTAGGTGCTCGGGAAAGACAGCTCGAGTAGTGATGGACACAAGACGAGACAACTTGAGACTGAATCTCGAGACGACTCAATACTAGCGAGGACAGCAGGGAGACAAGACTGGAAAGACCTTTATTTGGTACTTCTTGAGACCTACCACGGGACATAAAATTGGTTTTTCTCTCTTGCCAGTGTGTTCGTTAAAATAGCGCTGTTAATAATCAATCATTGCAAAACAGCTCGAAAGTACACTCAAATAACCTTAACCCTGACTCAATTGGTGATCTTTTCTGCGCATATTACCACAGTTCCGCGAGACTACAAGATCACAAGTAAGACTAGAGACCTGTCTCAAGACCGGAAGTACCTAGCCACCACAATCACAATCCGAGCGAGATTAACATCAATTTGGTCTTGTCTCGTCTCGTGCCCATCACTACACTAGCTCGAGCAGCTCGAGCTAGTGTGAACCCGAGCGGACTCGACTCGTCGGCTACACTAGGGGAGTCTGAACCCGGAAATGCCGGTGTCTTCTTCATTTGGGGATTTTCCTTTGCACACTCCTTGTTAAGGATGGTTGTCCTCTTTTTTGGTTCCTGTGAATGCTTCATGGCCGGTAGTTATGAGGAGGGCCGGATGGATTCCTTTCGAATTTGCTGTGGGGATTCGGCGGAGTCTTCCTTTTTAGTATTCCTTCTGCCTATGTATCGTATCTGTTTCTGGCTTGCTCACTGATATTTACAATCTTTTTTCTTCTTCTACTAGTTTACATTTCATATAGTCTAGACCATCCAACATGGGACGATTCTCGGGCTTCAGCGCCCTGTTGTGCGTAAATCTATTTCATTATTAAGTTGGCATAAAGATTCTAAGCGTTGCTTATGTAGTTATTACCATGATTTTAAACTATCATTCGGTTCATGTTATGCATTCAGGAGAGGAGTTTCGAAGGCTGCGCAGCCGTTTGAAAGCCCTAATTAGTGACGTAGTCGGCGAGCAGGAGGAAAGCTTGACTCGACTTATGATAGCAGCGCTCGAGCTTTTAAGTTGCCTCAGATATTAGACTTCCTTGAAGTTATTCTAGATCAGTTTGTGTGGACGTACGTGCACTTTGGTGTTAAGGTTTAATACTCCAAGGTATTACAAACTCATCATCCTGAATGTTGGCCGCCAAATACTGAAGGGTCCCTGACAGGACAGGGTTAAATAGCCAATAATGTTGTCCGCATCTCTAGGTAAATAAAGGGTGGGAATATGTAAAGAAATAGCATGTAAAAAGTTGGAGTTTTCCAAGTTGAGGATCAGCGAGAAGAGCTCGAGTCACTCGACCCGTGAGGGCACGCAGCTGCTTGTGGCTACTCAAGCCCACTCATCCTGTCGATCACACTAGCTCTAATTCAAAAATTTAGGCCTATATACTAAGGCCGGACTGGGGCTTAGAATAGTATAAGGTTGGTTTCAACTCACAATAATACCTCAGGGCGCTTCTATGCGTGCCACGCGCGAGATTTACTTCATGGTTAAGCTGGCATAAAAACTCCAGGCATTGCTTTGCCATCAACTTGCAATTACCACAGGTCCGGGGTGACAACTACTTCGATCCGGGTAGCTGGGTTGAAGACTGTCTCAATCAATTGTGATTAGGTAGGTCCATATCCAGATTACGCTCACTGGGATTGCAGTGCGTTTGCATTCGCCTTCGATCAAACTATGATCTGGCGGGGTCAAATGGAGTTTTGTTGGATTGAGTGGCAGAATTTTATGCCCGCAATATTGGATATGTTGCTTAGTACGTTACATCAATTGTCACTCGATATGAGATTTTAGGGCTAGGGTTGTTTAGTTTCACCTACGGTTTCCCGCCGCTTTAGTGAATGCCGTTTTAGTAATCCGAATCTAAATTTCGACATAAATCTACTGTACCAATGTGTTTTTCGGATTTGAATTTCCAATCCATACTCAAACCCGCTAAACTTTACCTGTTGTACCGAATATCTGCGGCATCGAACAAACATGCAGCCTCGTTATAAAGGAGGCCAATGACTTCCAACAGGAAAGACTTCCTGCCGGGGCCACAATTGTCCCGATTATCTGCAGCTCCGACGTCACGCATCTGACAAACCTCTCCGGAAATAAGAAGACCTGGCCGATATATATGATGCAATGCCATATTTTTACACTTCCCCTCACTTGCCATATCGTATCAATTCTGACAATTTTTGGTGAGCTGGTTTTGGTAGTCCTTTGATCATTATATCTGCGAAATTGTCTTCGGTAGGGATAAAGAGTGTTTCAAAGGTTCTGGTCTCGAGTTGTTTACGTGTATAGTGATAGTGAATGTTGATATGCTTGAATCGGTCGTGGATGCGTGAGTTCCAACAGAGTTCGATAGAACCTGTGTTATCGGCATATATGAAGTACCGGTATTGTTGTTGGAGTTCGTGCAAGGCATTACAAATCCATACCAGTTGTCGAGCTGCGAGTGACAGGGCTATGTATTCGGCTTCTATTGTTGAGACTGCGACTGATTTCTGCTTCCAGCTTCTCCAGCTGATGACTGACTTCTTTAGTCTGAAAACGTATCCTGAGAACGATTTTCTGTCATCTAGATCTGAAGCGTAGGAACTGTCTGAGAATCCGTTGAGTTTTCTAGTAGTCCCTTTCAGGTAGAACAGATTCCAGTCTTTGGTTCTATTGAGGTATCGGAGGGTTCACTTGGCTGCTCATAGGTGGTCCTTAGTTGGGCATGAAGAGTACTGAGAGAGAGCGGTAATGGCATGGGCGATATCAAGTCTGGTAGCTATATTCACATACATCAGTGATCCTATTATGGATTGGTATTCAGTTGATTTCTCGATTTGGTCTTCCGGTTCATATTTGTGAAAGTTGAGGTTCAGTTCAAGTGGTGTCCCAACTGGTTTACAGTTACTCATTCCAAATTTGTCCAGGATCTTGTTAATATATACACGTTGTGATTGCGTGATACCGTTGTTGGTTACCGTTATTTCTATTCCTAGTATGAATTTCGAGTTACCGAGATGCGTACATTTAAAATCTGCCTTGAGTAGTTGTCTGATTTCTTTCCTGAATGGGGAGTCGGATCCGAGTTTCATGATGTCGTCTATATACACCGATATGTATAGATGGTGGTTCTTATGTATAAAGACACATGGGTCGAATTTGGCTGGGACGAATCCTTTCTGTTGAATGGAGTCTGCTAGGCAAGCATACCATTCACGGGGTGATTGTTTTAGTCCGTATATGCATTTTCGAAGCTTATAAACCTTGTTGTCCACCCTGTAGCCTTCAGGCAGTTCCTTGTCGAGTTCCTCCTTGAGTACACTGTATAGAAAGGCTGACTTAATGTCTATTTGTTGTGATGTCCAACCGTTGTATTCAGCTAGTACCAGCAGGAGTCGTAGGGAATCATATCGTGCAATGGGGGTGAAGGTCTCATTGTAGTCTCGATACTGTACTTGGGTGAAGCCTTTGGCAACGTATCTTGCTTTGTACTGCTCGATTGTTCTGTCCGCGTTGGGTTTCACTTTGAATACCCACTTCTCTTTCATTACTGCTCGGTTGGTTAGTCGGTTGACAATATCCCAGGTATGAGCTTTATCAAGGGCATCTTTCTCAGTCTGTATCGCCTTTTTCTATAGATGTTGATCGTCGCTGTTCATGGCTTGGTTATAGGTTGAAGGATCGGTTACAAGGTGTACACGGTAGATAGCGGACTCGTTGGATACATCTTGGTATTCTAGGTCCAGATCCTTTCTGGCTTTTCTGAAGTCGGCTTTGAATTCTTCAATCATAGCTTGTTGTTCGCCTTCATCCAGTGGACCATCCTCTCTAACTGATTCAATGTACCCTTTTAATGACTTCTGTTGTTGTATTACCTTATTGTTGTATTCCTGCCTTCTTATTTCCTTATCAAGTTCATGAATTTTTCTGCGGATATGATCAGATCATCTTGGAGCTGGTGGTGAATCTGATGACTCAGGTTGTTTTCCTTTATCTGACGTCGTTGATTGTTAGACTTTCTACCTTTCCGGTGATGCTGAGAATTCTCCTGGTAATTTTTGATTGATGTCTTTTTTATCAGATCTTATGAGGTGATATCCGGGATCGAGCCTCGTCAACCCGGCTCACACTCTACTTGAGTTTTCTTCTAGGTTTTCTTCGATTGTTGACGATTCGGGTTCTGGATTGTGCCTGTCTTCTGATTCGTATCCGTCGTCTGATGGTGTATTTGCCGCATCTGATTTCAGAGTAGAGATGAAGTTGAGTTCCATTGAGACTTCCCCTGATTCAGGAGGGGGGAATATGACGTCCCGATTTTCAATTACCCTGTGTTGTGTTCCTATCCAGATACGGTATATTTTGTTACTGTCTGAGTATCCAACTATGATTCCTTTATATGCTCAGAATGCTAGTTTGCTTCCTGCTGGCCTAGAATTTTCTGGGATATGGATGTAGCATTTTTTACCGAACAGTTGAAGGTGTTGTATACTTGGCTTGGTTCCTTTCAGGGCTTCAAAGGGGGTCTTTTCCTTAAGCATGCTGTAAGGTAGCCTATTTTTGAGGTAGACAGCTGTTGAGTATGCTCCACCCCATAACGACTTAGGATGGTCTATGATCATGCACCTGACCATTGTGGTTACCGTCTTGTTGAATCGTTCAGCAACTCCATTAGATTCAGGGGTGTATAGGAGAGTCTGTTCATGAACTATTCCTTGTGCATCGAAGTAGTTCGTTATGTCCTTGTTGATGTATTCACCACCATATTCCATTCTGAATCTCAGTATTGTTGTATTATACTGTTTCTCGATCCTAGTAACATAGTCCTTGATGGCCTTCTTTGAATCTTCTTTGTGTTTTAGAAGATATATCCAAGCGAAGGGGGTGTAATCATCAATGAAGGACATATAGTACTGAGCTTTGCCTTGTGACTGTATACCGAACTTTCCAGATAGGTATGATTGGATTAGTTTGAATGGTCGTTTGGATCTAGTACTGATTGGTACAGGTTTCTTGTCTACGCTTTTTGATAGTGCATATTGACTGCAGTGGAAACTTTCTGGTTTGGGGGGCAGCCTTTGGATGTCATGATACAAGTTTTCTAGGGTCGCAGGGTGGCTTAACGCTTGATGTTATTCATCGTAAGTGGTCAAACACACTGTATTACTAACTACTTGTACATTCTAAAGTCCCTTTTCCAATTTTGCCCAGATTATTCCTTTCTTTTCTTTTGTAACCAACTTGGTTCCTCCTCTTGACTCCATTCTGAATCCCTTTTTGTCGAGCACGGTTTTGGAGACCATCCCACATTTCTCTAGCTTGGAACCAATAGCACATCGGTGAGGAGAATGGAAGATCTACTTCCATCGGGAAAGGGGCAGCTGAAACTAGCGCTTCCAATTCCGGTGACAGTGTGGTTGGTTCCATCAGCTGTTCAGACATTGCCAGTATGAGGTCAGATATTGATGAGTTGGTCTTGAAAGGGTGTAATGTGAAAGCTCGCTCCAGAATCAAGGATCCAGGTGAGAGGTTGGGAGGTGTCGTGGCGTACCATACAGATAGTAGTTGTAGAGTCATTTACTACAACCGTTGCCAAGTTGTCCTTTCTTTTTCCCTTCCTGTTCTTGTTCTATTCTTTGAGCTTTCTACACTCCGTATACTCGTGGCCTTTGTAAGGCTGATTTCGTCCTTGCACTAGGTGCATTCCTTATCGCTTGTGGTACTCCTAGTATAGAGTACTTTATTCCCTGTTTGAGGGGCTACCTCATCCAGGTTTTATAGTTGTTGGCATACGTCTTCATAGGTGACATCTTGTTTGATCTGGATGTTGTCGACGACGTTACTCATCGATTTGGGTAGCGAGCTTAGGAGGAATGCTACCATGGCTTTTTTGGGTTTGGTGAGGGGTAGGAGAACCTCAGCGAGTTTGTGGTCTGCACTTTGGCATCTGGACTTGAGAGTATTCCAGTTCACATCGAAGGTCGCGAGATGCTCGGTCAGTGATCCGCCTTCTTCTATCTTCGTGTCTAGTACGCGGCTAAGGAGGGTGATTGTGGTGTTGAATGAGACACGATCGTAGAGGTCTTTGAGCACTTTCCATACATAATATGCATTTTCGGCGGAGACGACTGTTGGTTGTATTTCTTCATATATAGCAGAGATGAGAAGGTTGTGCATTTGTTTACGACCCTTCTTTATCTCGGTTTTGCTGAGTTTAGTGTCATTCTCGTCAGGGTTCTCGATGCTTAACGTTTCCTATCAGTCTACAGCGTCGAATGTTATCCTACAGGCACTCACCCAAATTGGTAGTTGGATTGCTCTTGTGGTTTAGGGAGTCCATCAAACTTGAGACGAATGTTACTGGTGGCTGTGGTTTCTGAGGGTTTAGTCTCAGGAGCCTTAGATGACGGTTCTCTACCAGAAGGCATGGTATTGTATGAAGGGTTGTTGAGTTAAGCAAGTTGGCGAGAGTATAGTGCGGATTCTATTTGGCAGAATCCGGGCTCATAACCTGTGAATTAGAGTGTGGGAGAATAGACGACTTGAGGAGGGTTTGAACATATTACCTTTGTGAGGACGATGTTTAGAGTGCGAAGAAGGCATATTGCGCTGTTGAAGTTCCAACGACAATTGTGGGAGTTTGTTGATCCTTATATACAGATAGTTCTTAGTACCACGTGATCCCCTGATTACATACTCCTAGCGCTAAGCCTCCTTGTTCCACTATGAGTCATCCCTTATACATGAGTAATTACCATACATAACCGATGTCGCAATGCTGTATTTTTACAAGATAACCGTCAATAGACTGAGCGAATACGAAGCCGAACCACTCAAGACCTACCCTCGTGATCAGGATGAATACACGAGAATGTATCGTTAGTACAGGGCGCTAAAGGTACTGGAGAATCCAACGAGAGATAAAAGGTGAGAGCTGAAAACGCTGACCAAGTGGTTCAATTCTCGTGCTTTACCATCTCTGTACAACCCTTTCTGGAATCTCCCCTTTGTCTAAGCGTACGACCTCCATAAACCAGATATACTATACGTGGTATACTTGGAAATCCTGAAACATCTGATGGAGTAGCTGGAGGACTTCCTGAAGGAACATAGTCATTTGAAAGAATTCAATGCCATATGGATGCGCATGTCATCTTACCCTAGATTGACCCCATCGATGAAGCTTTATCAATGGGTCAGTCAATGGTAAGAGAAGGAGATGCGTAATGTTCAGAAAATAATCTTACCAGCCCTGGCTTCTGCTCTCATCTAATGGGACGGATTTCTAGGATAAAGATGTGAGCACATACCGAGGCGAGAATCGATTCGGAATAAGTTCTAGGAGGAGAACAGGGGACTGAGCTGAGTACCGATCGAAACAGAATAGAATTTACTAGCAAACAGAATGAAGACGTTGGATAAAGAAGAAAGAAAGAGAAGTACGGATAATGAGAACGAAGCCTCGAATATAAACCCCAAAGAATGACCCGATAACTAACCTACATAACCGAACCTAGGGAAATAACAGACAAATATAATAATATCCTACAACCGATCGCGATCCTTCTTCCTACAATCTAACCTGAAGCACCTATTGCTTCCTGTATCATCCGAGCACCTTCCTAACTTATCCAACCTAACCGAAGCTATCCTGATCCTTCAACAAAAAACTCGTTTCTGTAGCGTTCTCGACTGCAGGTAGCTGGGGGCTGTCAGGCCATAATACCTCAGGAATCCGTCATCTGCCCAGGCAGAGTTATTTAAGAAAGCCTTTCGATGGGTCCGGGTATTAGTCGATTGGGCACTAGTCACCCCGAATTATTCTCATAACGAGTTGACGATACACATGTTGGATAGTTACCTAATGGCTTTCCATAGGACGAAGGATATCTCCAGGAAATATCGCGCGATTAGAGAGACTAACAGACTTTTGGCGGAATGACGGAGGGAATTGCGCGTAGAATACGGCTTCTAGTTAGCAGGCATAAACGACTCTTTAGACCAAAGACGAAAGGTTATCACAGACCAAAGGCTAAATCCCTATGCGGAAACTGATGAGATCTTACGAGCAGAATACTAGTTCAACTTCCGCAAGATACACCTCATAGGCCATTTCGCAGAGCAAATTCATCAATACGGGAATATTCCGGACTATTTGATGGAGTCTTGCGAGTCAGCCCACAGGGATCATATCAAAATACAGTATCGTCAGAGTAATCATGTTAACCCCGCAATGCAGATACTTCAGATGTTTAACCGTGATTATACGTTTTCCATTTGTGAATTAAATCTTCTACAAATTGCTCGGGACGGTTTTTCGGCCACTGAGCTTGTCAGCAATCTCAACGTATTAGAGCTACATCTGATGAGGAGAATGCAAGCTGCAAGATGAGATTTTAGAGACCCTCAGGACGACCTGGCATTTCAAGCGCAGGATATAACGCTATTGGTTTATTTATCAAGCTACATCAGGGTGGGGAATAGGTGGGTCAAATGCCTGATCAAATTAACAAATGTCGGTAGTGTATATATCATAGGTGCTACAAAACGACTGGAGTATTACATCCGGCAGTATTTCAGGAGGGAGCTATGTCTTGGATACGAAGATGTACCCAAAGACATCGATAGCTGGTAGGTAAACACATTCAAACAGCTCAATATACCCGTTCTTTTATACGGCAAGGACGACGAGAGGACAATTCACACATTTCTTATGACGGGAATTTCGGGTTACAAACGGAGAAATATAAGCAATAACTGGGTATGGTTTCGTTAAAATCTTGCTGACTTAGAGACTTTGTAGGGTTTATGTCCAGCAAGGCTGCTTGCGATCTTTAAGCTCAGGGACCCAAGATGAAGGCGGGCCAGACTTCTGGCTGCAATACTGTAACGGAGTCATTACAACTGTCTGGTATATAACTACACACAGGGCCCGTTTACATGCTGAGAGCTATTGTTAGAAGCAAGTTGCATGGCGATATGCAAGTACCGGCAATGTGGTTAGCTACCAGCTGTTAGAGTAGCTACATTCCGGGTGCTAGGAAGAGGATCTATTTATGGGAGTAATGACTGATGAGTCCATGCCTCATCAGTAACTGGAAGGCCGGTCAGAGTGAAGCTCCGATTGTCCGGTGGTCCTTTCATTCATCAATTGGTGAATACACTGGGTTATGAGGAGTTGGATTAGTCAGAAGGGTTCTGTTGAGTTCTACCGGGTTCTGTTGATTGTTAATATATGAGTCACTTTGGATTTGTCATCATTGGGATTTCTTTGGATATATTAGGGGGAGTTCATTCTCATTTCTTGTCCTTTCCTTTTTCTTTCTTTACGCAACGTCTTCTGTACCTACGCTGTCTATCACTATACAATATTATCTTCCTATTCTTTACTCAAGAAGACCACCGCTTCACTGCCCCTTGTCCTGTTGACCCTTACCGATGCTAGAGCCCCTTGGGACCCCTATTGCGAGTTCCCACACCGACCTCTACTACCCCCTTCGTACCCTGCGGAATACTCACTACTCACCCCCTTCAGAGATCCTCTTTATCCTCTGAGAATTGTAAGTCCCCTGATATTGGCAGGGACTATGCTAGGGAAGTCTACAATAAGTGAAAGCTCTACAGCAATGATTAAGCTTACACCTGAGACGCAGCTCATTTATGCAGGCCTCAATTGTGTGGCAATCAAGGCTCCAGGTATTACAAAGACTTTGACTAAGGGTGATTGGCTTGAGTATCGGAAAACACCTTCTGACCTTTAGAGAAAAGTGGAGTAGCAGTGGTATTGTTTCCCGGACCAAGGAAAGGCTTCACCGGAACTTAATAAAGAGTTAAGAGTAGAGAATAGAGGCCTTTGGAGTATAAGCACTCAGGTTCATTCTCGTTCTTCAGTTCTGTTCTCTTCACTCTTCATCAAAAAGAAATATCAAATTCTTATCGGCAGCAGAGCCCTTAAAGATTATTGAGTTCTAGCGATGGTATCTTTGAATAATCTGCAACCTGATTGTCTATCTTGCATGGCTGTCTCTATTCTATCCTATTCTATTTCTCTTAGAAGAGACCCCCGGTACAGATACAACCATTGAAGCCGGACTTCAATGGAAACCCCAAGGTCGACCATGGGATAATAAGAGATCATGCTGCTCAAGCTCTCCTGACGCTATATGGGTAGTAAACATAACAAGAATTTGGGGCGCCGCTCATTTGGTGCCTGAGATAACGTCATCTACGAACAATAGATGGTTTATCAATAGTACGATCGATCTATCTATATACGGATCAATTTACTGAAGTAAGACCGGACGTTGCACTGAGTTTTTTATAATGATACTGACGACATAAACACCAGACAAGAGACTTTAGATATGTGGACTTCTGATGATAGGTTTTAGGCAGGGGGATTATGATGAACAGGGAATACAAACGAGAATTAGACGGGAGTCCTTAAACATTTTAAACAGTGGATATTCGACACACTAGATTGTACTGTAAATATTAGCTGGAAGGTATTAGATGGGCCCGGAGGTCATAAGAGTTTGTATTTTAGACTAAGTGATTATTGGACTTGGAATTTGGACAGAAGATTTCTAGTAGTATGATAAGTTATTAGAAAGAGAATTATGTTCGAGTCAAATGATGAGGATTTTCCAATTGAGCCATGTTCATCTTTTAACGGGTATTGAAGATAGGGACATTTAGCATGAGATGAGCGTAGGATAGATTGATTCAAAAGATGAGCTAATAAGGTTACACGATCGGTTTCGTAATTGGAGCTCTGAATGGACAACGTTCTGTGGTCGAATGACAAGCGGTCAAAAATAGTGGGACATAAGACAAGATCCCAGAGCCAAAAGATGAGGTTTTGAGGGCAAAAGATGAATTTAGGCATCTGGTTGACGGAATTCGTTTTGAGGAAACCTATTTTTTGCTAATCCACATTAATGTACACTATCATTTTAATAGGAAAACGATTCAAGAAGAGATGTTTGAATTGGAACATGTGGGAACAAATGAAAATATTTTAGACATATTCACTAAATTATTGGGGAGGGTAAAACATTACTTTTTATTAGAATATTGATTATTAAAGAACGCAATGATTGAGGGGGATTGTTGATTATAGTCAATCATTGCTATATTGTTATTTTGCTTGTTGTTAATAATTATATTGTTAAACGTTTCATTGCAAAAGCTAGACGAGGTTATATGCTATGTGTACTATTATACTAGAGGTAGTTTGGCCTCTAGTTTGTAACTATAAAGAGAGAGCTTTCGCTCTCTCTTCTTTGATTTTCTTCATTAGTTACAAAGTTATATTCTTCGCTCCTCATCTTCACTCTTTAGAAATATTTTAGAAAACAGCTTTAATCCGATCACAATTCATGGTACCAATATCCTCTATGAGACGAGAATTTTTGAAGTCTCATCTCGATCGAACAATTGAGCTCGATACCAAATATCTTCAATCTCCATACTGGCTTGAAATCAAGCAACTAGGGTCATTAGGGTTATAGGTATTAAGTTAGAGGTAAAATAGTTCATGGAAAGTCCACTTTATAAATTTATCCGTCAGTCAAGGAAAATTGTTTTATCGACAGTCTTGGATCACAGATAATCACTCAATTTTCGGAATGGACGCTAAGACAACATTAGTACCCCTATTTTGCATAACGAAAGAGGTATGGTTTCTTGCTTACACTCTTTCACTTTGAGCGCGAAGCTTGGATAGGTATCTGAATATGTTAGGACAGTATACCGACCAACATGCACCAGAGGTTCGAAAAGACTCTAGAGATTCTCAATGGTAGATCCTCATGATTGTAATATTTATATCTATCCATATCTCTGATCGCTCTAAGAATTACTATAACATAGTGGAATCGAGCTTGTGAATGGAATTTTAAATAAGGTAGGGCTATTCCTACAATATTGGCATTTTTGTGTCGGCTAACTGCAATTCTTTGTTAATTTATCACGACGAACATTCTACTGGTGATAAAAACATATGAACCGCGCTGATAATAGTGTCACTAGTATATAGTCGTGAATGTCGGGTGGTGGATGGTTAATTTGACCAGATTATTGGTGTTATAATTATAAAAGATCACTTGTTCTTGGCTACAAAAAGTTGTTAGAATTATTATTTAGCGTAAATCTGCAGCTGGAAATATTGGATTGAGTATCAGAGGATGGCCATATCTTGTGAACTCTACGGTTATATGTTGTCTCCTATCTCTCCTTTAATTGTCTAGAGTTCTGAGTTTGTATGGAGGGCCTTGCTTGACATATGACCGTAGGCTCTTATATTTACGATTGCCAAGAAAGGTCAACTAAGAAAAGTCAAGATCTTCTGCATACTTATATATAGTCTTCCATATTATAACCAAAGCACCACCATCCACCCCCTGGTTTATTAAATGACTCACATAAATATAGTCTTCCGGTTATAGTATTCACCTCCATGCCTTTAATTCTCTCACCGCTGAAATAAGGAAACCAATATATAACGTGCAAAAGATAAACCAGTCCAAACCCACGAGTAACTGAAAATAGAGAAACAGTACGGTTCACTTTCACGGTCAAGGAAAAGGGTTAACAATTTCTTATAACCGTTTCGCTGTTACTGTACTGCCACCCTTCTATCTCTTTCTGCCTATATACTTATACCTCTGCTTCCAACCTTCCCCGTGTCACAAAGCCAACCCGATCTTAAATACCCTTCTTGTACTAACACTTCACCAGTCGACTCGTCGCCTAAAACAATAAAGCCACGGTGACTTACGGGGCAACTAACCATAGCATCAAGAGGGCTCTCAATTAATAGAGTGTCCCATCTGGCACCCCTGCTATGAGATAAATGTAGTCTATATTAACTCCAGAAAAGGGCTAGCGCTATAAGGATGGTACTATCGACATCATAAAACCGCTCTATAAAGCATCGTAGGCATACATCTTTGGGTGATGGCCGCGGTGCACACAGCTGCCATGCTCGATCAGACCCCGAGTACAGGAACATAGCAGTGATACAGCTCGCAGTGGCAAAGAACGATCTCCACCACGAGACGGGAATGGAATTAAAACCGCATGCCCGAACGATGCTGATATAGAGTATGTAGCACCCTAGCTATTGGTAACCCCATTGATGGTGGTCTAGCTATATCACTATATATTTATAACCGTAATTTATTGCTGCATGTGTGCTGGCCATGTCGTTGTAAGCTCGTCTTCTAAATCATACTAATAGCTATATGCATCAGGTACATGCATGCCCACCCTGTAGAGTAACTTACTAAACTGCAACTAGGTATCGGATGCGCTTTGCTGGAGCGCTGCGCAAAGATGCAAGTGCACGGGTGGTGACCGAATACAGCGATCGGAATCAGAGGGGGGTAGAATATTCTGGAGTAATGTAGAGAGGGTTAGGGGTTGATGGGAGTGGAAGAGAAGGTATATTAAAGGGTGCAACCGCCCATTTTCTTTCAAGATTAACTTATACTCCGACTGTAAGAGATGAGTATTATGTATAGGTATTATTTAAGCTGACAGAGGTAGAGGGGAAAAAAAGGGTGTATATACCCTTTTTTTCCCTCCACCCTTGTCAGCTTATATAATTGCTTAGTAATAGGATAATTTTGCTGATATAATTAGTTAAAACCGTGTTTTGATGCCAAAACCGTATTGTCGATACCCAAACCGTATTTTCAATACTTGAACTATATTTTCAATACCTGAACAAAACTTTACGAAGAATAAAAAAAAATTTATTAGTTATAGTATTATTTCTATAATTCTATGTTTACTTTTTATACCTACCATTTATTATAGATATTTCAACCTCATTATAGGAGCTTTATTAAGAATCAAATTAAGTTCTGGCTAAATGAACCGATTCTGCATAAGACTGGTACAAAGCTTTCTATTACTCAATTGCAAGATATTAAGGCAAAGATGTCTCAATGCACTTTCAATCTCTATAATTACCCCGATCTACATATCCTAGTCAGTGGACAACCTCATTATCGTCAGTTACTCGATGACAACAACCAAGTTATCGGTGAATGGTTTAAGTTTATGTATCTTGACCAAAGCAATATCGGCAAATTCAGTGATCCTGAAATTCTCCGTATTCATAAAAATCTTGCTGAATACGTACGTGGCAATTTCGATTACGGATTGCAGAAATGGGAGTCAGGTTTCCAGAAATTCGATCACCATATGACCGGTAACCGTGATGGTCTGAATATCGCCTATATGACTGGAATCGTACTTCAAGGTTCTTATGTAGCGGCCCCTGCTGTACATTCAACTTAGGAGAAAACCAAAGATTCTGAATTTATGCAATGGTTGGCCAAATTCTATTGTATCCTTGTCGATCTTGGTGGACGTGCTGTGTCAACTGTTATGGACGACGTCTATAATCAATTCACGAAGGAAAGACATGAACATTACAATCCACCATTTTTTGGGCTATCTACTGGTTCACAACCATATTTCACTTCATCACAAATTAAGCATAGTACCAACACAATGAGATTGTAAGGTACAGCTGCTGGTGTTCATTGTGATTATACAGACGATGGACCTCCCTTTTCGCTTCCTCTTAACGTGTCAGTTATCAAAGATTCAACTTCGTTTGGCTAGTTCTGCTTCCCTGATTTCGATACATTGATTCCAGTCAAACCAATGTCTATAATCATTTTTCAAAGTATCGAAGAACACACCCGAATGCCGATAGTTCTAGATAACAATGATTCCTCATCTCTCGCTTTCGGATATACTGAAAATACCCATTTCAATACTATCTGTTATCCTAAAGGACTGATAATGAAGAATACTGCCTATTGAAATTACTGTAGCTTTGTCAATTCTGCGCCAGAATGTCCTAATCTCATAACTGATGGCCTTCCTAGTTTTGGTGGAAAGGAAAACTATGATGAGTAGAAAGCTAGAGAGATTTTAAGAATTAATATTCCTAATATTAAAAATATTTTTGGAAGACACATTGCAATTAATATTGATGCTGAAGCTCAATATAATTCGATTTTCTTTCCGGATAATGATTCACAGTATACACTCACTCCCTATTCTGTTTCTGCAAACAATTCTGTTGAAATTGAAAATCTTACATCACCGGAATCACAAGCGGTAATTGCCACACAACTTACCCCATATCAAATCATTAATATCAAAGATATTTTTGATAATACTTTGTTTGATACCTTTATCGACAAACTCCGTCAGAAAAATCAACTTTGTACGCCATAAACCTTTTAATCATCTATTACCAAATCAAATTCGAATGTTGAAAATCCGATTAATCAGTGTTTGATTCATATTGTAGAAGATGAAAACGATATCGATGATATTTCTGATATTCCACTGTTTGAATATAATTCAGAAACAAATCAAAATCTTTTCGATCATACCAGTGTCGACAATGATAATGATAACGAACCTCCAGTACGTACGGTTGATGATATCAATTCCTTCGAACTGTTTGAATTGGGGACTATCGAGAACTTTTTTGCGACACTCAAAGGAAAATCATTAATGAAGAATCAACATACGTATTCAATGTGCGAAGAATTAAAAAATCAAATCCCATTCCTTCCACCTGTTAATTAAACTGAAATATAGATTCATCTTGCTTCATTCCTGATTTCTCAACTACTGATTCCCGTATTTTGAAAATGCTCTCAAAAAAATCAAGTCAGTTAGATCGCTTTAAACGTAGTTTACTGTCAGCTCAAGGCAAATTAGTATTCGAACATATTGAAATGTGAGAACATGATTTTTTCGATCTGTTCAACCCCAAATCAAATATCGTTCTTCCGCCAAACAGTATTGCCTATCGTTTAAGAAAAAAAATTGATGAATTAGCAGATCTCTTAAATGGATCGAATGAACCTAACCTAAAGTTTTTTTTTCAGCAGAGGAGATTTTAGGTGATAAACATCATAGTGGTTGGCATCTTGATATTAATCTCGAACCTAATCCACGCCATATTGCTTCAACTGTATTAAAAGTGAAAGCTTTCCGCAATGTACTTTGGGGCATGACAGTTTTGCATCCTGTAAATGCATTTATTGGATCTTTCAAAAGAACACATTTGTCTGATATTACTGATGTTACGTTATCAATGGTAACTAATCGTAACTATCACTACTGATATATTTTTGGTAGAATTAAATTTTTCCAAAGAATTTGCAATGCATTATCAGACGTTGGTATGTTTCTCTTTCATATTTTAAGTATTAATTTAATACTAAATATCAACAGATAACGTCGAAAAATCGACTCCGGAATTATATTTGTTTGTACCACAAGTATATGAGTTGGCATCTCGATATGATGTTAGTAATAAGCTATCGAACTAAACTATGAATAATATTGTATCTATAATTACCGAGGAGGAAAGCATTAGGCCAGCAATTACAGCTGTAAATCAACTTGCTAAAATCCCTTCCGAACATTTTGACCTTGATCAATTGAACGCATCAGACCGTTTCAACACCCATTCGAACTTAACGACATTAATCTTAATCGATTGAATGAAAGCCTTGAACCAATCAGTTGTAATCAGACAGCAATTGACAGAGCATTTTCTCTTCTGAAATGTTTTTATTCAGTACTCAAAATCAATAAAATCTGTATTGAGATTCTGAATTACCAATCACATATACAATATTTCGTAACAAAAACCTTAAATATCATAAATTCGACAAATTTGAAATATGTTCGTACAGTATGCGGAAAAGACATTGATAAGGATAAGCTTTTATGTGCAAGGACTCAAGGTCTAAGATTTACAAGTTTGATGAAAAGCTGATCTGGCAATAATTTCAATCCTGATGGCTCACTGATACTTCCGGGATTTGGTGATATCAACAACTTAACGATTTTAGTTCGAAAGTGTCTTATTTTCAGAACTGCTTAGGGATTTCCATCCTTGATTGAACTTTACAGTAATTGTGAAAGTTCTGAAGATTTTTTACCGTTCAAACCAATTGGAAAGATTAGGAAAGATAGTTGAATTCACGTACCAAACCGAGCTTTCTGATGCTTCGAGTCTACAGACAGATAACTATAAAGGCAATTCAAATTGATCTGGTACTCACATCACTTTCCCGAAAGGCGAACAGTCGTGCAACTTTTATTCATGGTTATATTTCTCGTCAAGAAAAACCGACTTTTAAAAGTGTAATAGATTTCATTGTATCATGGAAAATCCCTTATTTTGTTTCATTTGGTTTATTGCCTTGGATAGTTACAGGAGATTTATTTGTGATTGGTCTTTATCAACCACCCACAATCAACGATTTGGCGAATAAAATATTACATGCTGGATATGAAGGAAATCATGCTGGTCTGAAAATTGCATATAGTGCGCCTACGCATAAAGGTGATAAAAGGTGATAAGTCAGGTTTGGTGGGTGTAACAAGCTTGGCAGTAGGATAATTGCAACCATACTATACCTCAACTACACCTTTACACACCCAAAGCTGGTAGGCAACAATACAACCAGTTTTCAAGAGTTAAATTTGTAGTTTTGGGAGGTTATCCAGCAAGATACTGTGAAAAGGATTTGTCTTAATCTCGAAAACTCATAGAGTTATGGTGCATAAAGTAAGGGGACAATAATGTTGTATCCCTATCATTCACAGCTCCATAGCACCCACCCCCACTAAATAATTTTGAGCACAACAATCACACAAAATATTATTTTCCCCTTCCGGAATATAGTAACTAAAATGTAGCTTAACAATATAGAACCCAGAAAATCATTTTAAATTAAAAAGATAGTGATTTATAGCATTTTTAATAATAAAAACGCAAATCCTATCCCTATTTATGCATGTAAAAATTCATTTTAAATTTTCTATATACTTTTAAGCTAATCAACTATTACCTTCCAAAATTACGAATTAACTTTTGAAAACTGGTTGTGTTGTTGCCTACCAGCTTTGAGTGCGTAAAGGTGTAGTTGAGGTTTGGTGTGGTGAGGTTGAGATTGCAGTTAACCTACTGCCAAGCCTGTTCCATTTTGTGATTGCTTGGTACATTTTACATACTAAAATACCAAATTTCAAGCTTGAATAACTTTTTAACCAGGAGAGATATCAAAAATCTGGTTGGGAAAATTCTTCTTCATCACTAGTACTTCAATTTTACCAACCGGATTTTTCATAATTTGTTTCGTTGGAAAGTTATTCAACCTCGACCTCGCCCTAATTTTTGACTACCTTTATGATTGGGCGCACTATATGTACAACTACTGACTGCTCGAGCAGAATATCCTGAAGATTCCAGGGGGCTAACACCTATATTGAACAAAGTTTTCAATGCGATGAAAGAGAATTGGTCAGATTTTTGAGGGAATGTCAGTTGCCACCAACGAGAATTGACATTTTTAGACTTTGAAAATATTTTATGCAAAGTTTCAAGAATGAATCAATTTATTTCTAATAATTAGTTTAGATTCTATTTTCTATTCGTTATGTTTTTCAAGTTACTAAATTGTTATTTTCTATTCGTTATTGTTTTCAAATTACGAAATTGTCGTTTTCTATTTTATTTTATCAATTCTACCTTCATTTCTTAAGTATATGATCTAGTTCAATTATTCAATATTTGTTTTTCCTTTGTTTTATATACAATTATTTCTTATGTTTTTTTTAATGAATCTAACATTTTTTGAATTTATTGTTTGCGTTTGGTGATAAAATAAATATAATTGCTTTTGTTTTATCCCCGTTCTTAATCAAAGCTAATGATATAGGCAACCACTTATATTAGGATAATATTTTAAATTATCAATCGATTTAAAACTGACTCACAGGATAGACAAATAAATTACAGGATGCAAAATATATTCCGGGATTTCTGAATGAAAACCAGGATGCAAAATGAATTTGAGGATTTAACAAAATTTTCTATAATACAGCAGATGATAATAGTGTATATATCGTATTTACTGATTTTAATATATATATACCTATTGAGTCAGTGCTGTTAGTTAAATTACAAAATATTGAAGCAAATGTTTTAATTTTTCATACCCAAAAATGTCAAACCATAATCAACGATCATCATCCCGTAAAGTTTATAATACAAACAATCGAACTTATAATATCCAACATCCTATAATATTTGCAAATCCTCCCTTGACGGAAAAAACTGATGAAGATTTAGAAGATACTGCAAGTGATGATAGTTCTGAATCAGAACCACCAATTCTATCAAGAGTTAAAAAAAAACGTATATCAGAAAGTAGCCGACATTGATCGAACATTTCTACAATAAAATAACCAATAACCAAAATGGCACTAAAGTTGGTAGGTATAGAGTTGAACTTGATATTTGAAAAATTGGAAAATTTAATAACAAAACCATGTTTTCCATCGAACCCATTCTATGAGCAAGTATGTGATCATTGATTTTTTTTGTACTGTTCGGAGTTACAACTGATTTAGGTTCCGATTTCGTAACATATTTAGTGATATATTTTGCTAGTCCGCTGGTGGTACAATATTGTACATTGCAATGTGCTTTCCATAACAACAACAAACGTGGACTATGTAGAACAAATCAGTGGGCCTCTTTTAATCGTCGATAGATGTATCGAATTTCTTTTGGCTTACGAAAGGTATACATCGATATATCCGCTGGGAAACTCTTTCAACAAATTTCATTCATATTGGAATCTCCTTTATCACAGAGATTGACTGAACAACGATGAATCTGATTCTCTGTTACTAATCGACAAAGTTCCGGTTCTTTCTCTGGATATGGAATATCTGCTCTTTTAAAGGTGTCCCCAATCAATTCTTCTTGGTTCTTTTCAAACCATGAAAGTGAATGAGTATGTATCACGCCTCTCAATTGAAATTCATGTCTCTCCACAATTTCCTTTAATTATCCGAATCCTGAAATTGATACACTCTTGAAATAGGAAGATTTTAGCCAATTTCTCAAGGGGGCGAGTAGTGAGTATTCCGCAGAGTACAAAGGAGGTAGAAGAGGTCTATGTGGGAACTCGCAATGGGGGTCCTAAGGGACTATAGCATCGGTAAGGGTCAACGGACAAGGGGCAGTGAAGCGGTGGTCTTCTCGAATAAATAAGAGGAAGATAATATGGTATAGTAATAGACAGCGTAGGTACAGAAGACGTTGCGTAAAGAAAGAAAGAGAAAAAAGGAAAAGAACAAGAAATAGGAACGAATTCCCCTTAATATACCCAATGAAATCCCAGCGATGATAAATTCAAAGTGAATCATACATTAACAATCAACAGAACCCGGTAGAACCCAATAGAACCCTTTTGACTAATCCAACTCCTCGTAACTCAGTGTATTCACTAGTCGATCCATGAAAATAACGCTCATGGAATCGTTTGACGATATCAGGTGAATGCTCAAGGTCCGATAGTGGTTGACAGGAGGCTTCATGATATCCTATATATCGTACTAAATACTCAAACCTTCCTCTTCGTTTCCTCGAATCCAAAATATCTTCGACTTCCCATTCTTCCTCCCCTTCGATTTCAACCGGAGGTGGTGGCAATTGTTGTTGTCCTGGTAAAGGATTATTTGCTTCGGGTGACAATAACAAAACATGAAATACTGGATGAATCTTCATTGATCGGGGAAGTTCCAATTCGTAAGTGTAGGGATTGATAATCTGCTTAACACTATAAGGTTCAATAAGTTTCGAATTGAACTTCTTGGAAGGCAGCTTTGATAGAATATGACGTGTCGATAGGAAAACCTTATCTCATAAATGGTAACGAGGAGCTGGAGTCCGATTCCTATTGCCTGACTCTTCTTGTATCTTTTGCGCCCGAAACATCTCTTCTCTTAGAAAATCCACTACATCTTTCATTTCTCTTGCAATACGATTAGCTTGATCCTCCGCGGTCGTTCAACCATGTTTCAAAGGACCAAAAGTCATCCTTGGATTTCTTCCCGAATTGGCATAAACAGGAGAGACTTTTGTTGTTTGCGAAGCATGGTTGTTTGTCGCAAACTCGGCCATTGATAGCAATCGAGCACAATCGTCTTATTGATAGGATACATAGCTTCGAAGGTATTGTTCCATTACGGCATTGATTCTTTCCGTCTGTCCATCTGTCTGAGGATGAAATGCGGTGGAGAATTTCAACGATATTTCCAACCGATCGCAAAGCGACTTCCAAAACTCCGCAAGAAACTGTGTTCCTCGATCAGATACAATGGTATTAGGTAGTCTATGTAGCTTACAAACATTATCGATGTATAGCCTCGCTACTTCCCTTGAATCTGCCTCTTTAGTCGTTGGTATTAGATGTCGCATTTTGGTTAATCTATCCACCACAACTAAGATTGCATTGTATCCATCGCTCTCCAGGAGATCAGTGACAAAATCCATCGATATATCCATCCACGGTCCCTCAGGTATCGGTATAGTATGGAGTATTCCATAAGGTGCATTGCGTGGTGCCTTGCTACGGGCACACACATTGCAATTCCTAATATACTGGTCGACATATTTTCGCATTTGTGGCCAATAATATTCTCGGTTTAGAAGTTCCAATGTCTTTGCTCTACCTGAATGTCCTGTGGATGGTTTGTCATGGTGTTCTTTTAAAAGCCTTAGCCGAAGGTCATTGTCATCTGGTACATATAGCATGCCTCGATAAAGTAGCCAACCGTTATTATCATCCGTGCATTCAGGAAGCGAAATGTTGTTCGAGTGACGAATGCCATTCCGAAGTATAGCGAGGATCTTGTTTGGGAAATTATCAACTTGGTAAGCTTTTGAAAATAACTCCTCTACAGTGGACGCTCCTTCAGCGGATTCGTTTGACAAAGAACCCGCGAACAAACTTAGCCTTGTATCCAAATTTTCTCGCTTCAAAATCACTTGACTCTGATGCGTCAACCATTCATCCCTCTCTTTAGGTAGGTTACCTGACCTTCTAGTCAATGCATCTGGTTTCGCTCCCTGTTTTCCTGGCCGAAATTGTATAATGAAATCGAAGCGTGAAAGGAATTTGGACCAACGGGCTTGTCGACGATTTAACAATTTTGTTGTCATAAAATATTCAAGATTCCGATGGTCGCTAAAAACTTCAATTGGGAATTGGGCTCCCTCCAGGTGATGTCGCTATCATTCATAGCATCGCATGATTGCTAAAAGTTCTTTGTCATAGATTTCATAGTTGCACTCTCCAGGAGAATGTTTTTTGGAGAAGAAAGTGACTGGATGTAGGATTCCTTCATTATCACGTTGAGATAGGATTCCTACTGAAACATAGTTAGATGCATCGGTTTCTATCATAATCCTCCGATCCAGATTAAAATGAGCTAGTATCGGTGCCGTTGTGAACATTTTTTTTAAAGTTTAAAATGCTTCCTACCTTTTATCCGTCCATTCGAATTTAATGTTTTTCTTTGTCAAAGCTGTAAGCAGAGCAACAATTTTCGAATATACTAAAATGAACTGCTTATAGAAATTTGCAAATCCTAGGAATACTTGAAGATCATGAAGTTTTGTCGGTGTGGACTATTCCAAAACATCGACAACTTTCTTTGGGTCCATTCTATTCCCATTCGGGGTGAGGATTTAACCAAGATATTTCATTTCCTGAACCATAAATTCACATTTTTCAGGTTTAAGGTGAACATGATTCTCATCAAGTATCTTTAGAACCTTTTGAATGTGTTTTTTATGTTCCGATAGAGTCTCGGAATAGATAAGGATATCATCCAAATATGCCGTCACAAATTGATCAAGATAAGGTTGTAGAATATCATTGATCCAGTGTTGAAATGTAGCAGGGGCATTAGCTAATCCATACGGCATTACTGTATATTCGAAATGTCCATATCGAGTTCTGAATGCCGTTTTCCATTCATCTCCCTCCGCTATCCTGTTCTGATTATATCCACAACGTAAATCCAACTTGGTATAGTATTGTGCTCTTGACAGCTTAGCCAGGGTTTCCTTTAACAATGGTAATGGATATTGATTTTTGATTGTGATTGCATTTAGACCTCGATAGTCAACACAAAGTCGAAGGGTTCCATCGCCTTTCTTTACGAACAATATAGATGCTCCCGCTGGTGACTCACTAGCCCGAATAAATCCTTTGGGTAAATTTTCATCAAGATATTCCCGTAGTGCTTTCAACTCGATTTGAAACAATCCATATATAGGTCTATATGGTGGTCGTTCGCCTTCTTCTAACACTATTTCAATATCATGGGATAGCCGATATGGTGGAAGGTCTGAAGCATCATATTCCTTGAATATATCGAGATGATGGTGAAACTCCTTCGGTACTAGCTCTTCGATGTCGATGGTAGATTTTTCAGTTACTGAAACGATGACTGTATAGTGTTCCGGTAAAGGAATCGAGATGCCATGAACAATAACTGCAGTTCCACTAAGTGAACACTGTTGACAACAGTTCCGAGAGTCAAAAACAAGTAGATTTTCCTTTGGTCGAATCGTAACATCATGACGTCGCTTCCAACGTATCCCCATCACAATCAGGTAGTGTCCTAACTTCGTCACAAAACATGGGGCCATCTCCTGATGACCATGAATGTCTAACGAGACATCGACAATATAGGTAATCTTTCCTGTTTTGATAGTCCTTCCGTCTATAACGTCTACATGGCGAGGTATTTTAAGAGGGGTCATTATAAGATTGTTGTGACGTGCAAAAGATTCGTCAATGAAAGCGTATCCTGATGCTCCGGTATCAATAAGAGCGTAGGTGGGGATGAAAGAGTTTTTATTTTGTGAAATCGAACAAGTTACTACAAGTTGGTTCCCATCCATTTCCTCCTCTGATACCGAAAAACCAGAAATACACATCCTGGAAAAATCCTTAAATGGTCCCTGTGCTAAGCCACTTAGTACAGGGACAAATCTTTTGCCGACTCATTATCGCTTCCATCATTTTCCTCCATCCTCAATGCTGCTCCTCTTATCACAGGCCTCCTAGATTGATTTCCAGTTGTATTCGCTTGACGGCAATCCCTAACCATATGTTCAACACTTCCGCAATAGAAACATCGGCCCTCAACTAAGCGGGCATTTCATTCTGCAGGGGTGGAGTGACGACATCCTCCAGATAGATCGATTGGTACATCACCTCCCGGGCGGAACGAGGGATGCTTTTCAGTAGCAGGTGCATTGGCGACTGGGGCGGCAGCACGAGGAGCAGAAACAGGATTCGCTGGTGGGGGATGAGGGGCCGGAGTAGCAGTAGCATTCTAAGGCTTTTTATTTCCTCGTTTAGCTTCTGCCGCTCGACGATGATTATCCAACCGTTGCAAAAGTATCGCACAGGCATCTACCGTCGCAGGAGTTTCATGGTGTATTTTTGATTCATCGAGTTCCATATTAATACCTTCCATCAAAGCCTCAATCCGAGAGACTTCATCCATACCTGACTCAGCAGCATACCGTTGAAACTCAGCGAAATAGTCGGCAAAGGTTTGAGTTCCTTGACAGATGTTCCGGAGGTTCCTCCTAGCCGTGTCCAAAATTTCATAAAACCATAGCATAGAAGGTAAGGCAATACCTTCTTCTCCCATGTACTGTAAGAACTGATTGGTAGCAGTGCCTTCCAATCTGATGAACGCATATGATAATTTAGACTGTAGTGTAGGATAACGATCGGTATTTCCTAATAGCTTGAGTTTCATTTGTTGCTTGAATAGGTGTAATCTTTCTCGATCACGATCCCCCCTGAACACCTCAGGATCTGAAAGCTTTTCTGACCAATAGATAGTACCTGTAGCCGGTGGTACTGGGGGTATAGGTGGAGCATCATCTCCGATGGATCCTTCGTTAGGGGCAACAACCTCAACAGCAGTCTGTTGAGCTCGGGCAGCAGCAAGATTTTGCTCAAACATTCCTCTTGCCCTCTCAGCCTCCCCTTCTACCTCCTGTAAATCCGTTGCATATTGAGCAAGACCATGTTGACATTGTTGGAGAAGTGCATAGGCTTCGGTTCCGACAACATTTTCGACCTATGGGTGCACTTGAAAAAAAGTTTGGAGGTTATTGTTGAGTTGTTGATAATCAATATGAGCGTATTCCGAAATTCTAGATTATGGTGTTGTATTGATTGGCGATAGAGGACGCAACCTACGTATAACGTGGGTCTATGAACGAGAGACTATAGTGCCAAGGAATACAACCGAGGCGAATACGTGGTATCGAGGGATTCTGGACTATAGACTATGGAATGGTTCAATCCTGATGAAAGATCCAAGATGAGCCCTATGACGTAGCGTAGAACAAAAGTAATATTCGTGGAATAAATACAGAGATTGCATAAAGAAAGAAGGAAAGAGAGAAAATAGGTAAAAGCATGAAACAACGCCCCCTTATATATCCAACCCTAATTCAATGATGACTAATACCTCCGCGTAATAGAAACTGAAAGAACATAACAGAAACCCCCATTATAAATCCTAATCCCACTGTACAATACTTCCTCTTCATGTTCCAATTTATCACTAACCGAAATACATAGTTGCCGTTACAACTATGTCTAAAACCTTACCAGAGTTTAAGTAAGGTGAAAGCTTCGAAAACAATGGTGATTTTGTGTAAATTAAAAATGTCAAAAGATACTATGTATTGGTTTATATTTTTTGATCAATTTGGAATCATAAACAAAAACCAAGACTAAAATTGTAGTTGAAGCTTACGGGTATATCAGTACGTGTTTCAACATCATATTGGTATATCTGCCCATCGAAGTACTTTAATCCATTCGACTCATTGATATGAATTAGATCTGTCATCATTGTAACAGTTGAAGTCAAATATGGATTGTTCGGAATTGTATCATCATTCGATCCAGTTTTGAAGAGTTCCAAATTCTGTATCAACGTATACTAAAAAATACAATTGTTAGATATATATTGTAATAGCATTACGCACACCAGAAATTCATCAAATTATGAAATTAATTTGATTGAAAAACCTACCTTCAGTGTTTTCCCAACAGCCAAAATAACTGTTCCGTTGAATAGGTAGAATCGATCAGAATAGAGGGAGGATTCAATTGATTAAAAAAACTTGATATCGATATGTCTTCAAGTCCCATCCATATCCATATGGGAAACAGTTGCAAGTTTATAACCACCAACTCTATTTACAGCAATAACGAGGCCAACAAATGTAAAGCAAATAGGCATGATTTTTTCAGAATCAATTTAAGAAGAAACAAATTGTATAAACGTTGCAATTCAATGACTTACCTTAAGAATTCGAATAGTTGTTGTGAGCAAGCTGCCTTGGGAATATGTACTGTTTAAAGCTTTGAAACATGAATATAAATAGTTAGGCGACCAACATATCTTGTACTAAAAATAGTAATACTTTCGATCGTGAGAGTTGCTTCTATGACGTATATCGCTATCGTCAACAGGGTTGTAGATATTTTAACTGCTAAATTCATATCTCAAAATTTCTTGTTTCCTATTTCCTCGTTAAAATATTCCTAAAACTACTATATAATTAATAAAATATTATAACAAACTATTTCAATTCGTTTAATTTAACTGTAAACATCAAAATATTTGTTCTCAAATGATTGAAATCGGTTTTCTTTTACTATTAATAATTTATAATAAAAATGAGTAATGTGAATAGTTTACGTCATTATAAAAACTGTATGAAACTTATTTCCAAACGGTTGACAACACATATAGGATTCAGCGGAACCCATTTTAAAAACACATTATTCGACATATTTTTCCAAAATCTATTTTTCTGATGTTAGAAACAATTAGGTAAGATTTCTAATATAAAAAACTCAGTACAATCTGACAATTTTAAATTCAAATCCTATTGAATCGTACATGAATATAAATACGAAATATATGTAAAGATGATATTATAAGTAAAGATATAAATTAAATATATTTTTAATTAATATTTTTAAATAAAATATTTAAAAAATATATAATAAAAATAAAAAATAAAAAATAAATAAAATAAATAAAAAATAAAAAAAATAGAAAAAACTGTGTAGAATTGCTTTAGGAAATTCTTTCCAAATCAGGTTTAGTGTTGTTATACTTCCACATTTTCTTTTCCGGTGCATACATTTATCAGTGTTAATATTTGGACGCACATATGTAGCTAGCTAGATTCAAGTATAAGGTATTAAACTCTTACTTGCGTTAACATTCTGGCTACTACTAGAACCCAATCATGATATCGCTGAATTAATCAGCCACAGTCACTCACCACGCATTACTTATCACCACACTATATAGTTTACCATGAATCACATACCCGCTCGCCCACCCCAATAATCAACCCATCAAGCCGCACATCAAAGCTTACATGTACTCACCTCACCTCACCTCACCTCCCTCCTCCGCCCCCACCTTACCCGTCCACACGCGACCCAACTGAATCCGCCCCACATTCCAGTACCGTGAATTTCAACATTTTTCCCACCGACGCTTGGCAAGACACCACCTCTCGCAACACATAAAGAACAATTAATCACGATAACCTCTACGCCAGCAGTACTTGGCGGTTAGCGCACCATATCTAGTACCAGACTGAATACTTATCTGTAGACTTCCGAAGATAAAAATACACAAGCTACATCAGTGCCACTGGTACACATTCGTCACCAGCGGGTTGTTTGTCATTAACTCGTGGTTCGTAGGTTTTTGTGTAGTCGATAGTACTTTTAGGATTCGACCAGAACATTGACGCGTTGCATCACAGGCCATCACTCGTTTCTCTTCAAGGCCTAGGCGTCACTAGATATATGTCACTCTAGGCACTAAGGCCACGGTGTCAAGTAAATGGAGGGCTAGTTTTCAAGAGGGCTATCAGTCTATGTGTTTATTCGGCCTTGCTATTAGGTCTAGACATCGATGATACATAGCTTCATGTTACTTAGCTATATATAGCGGCCAGCGGAGGCTTAGTGAATTAAAAGACTATACCCACAAAGATCTCCAAGAATAGTTGTCATTACATACCTAGTATTACCAAGTCCTAGCTAGCTAATCAGCACCCACGCCGATTCCCAGCACACGCCCGCAGCGGCCGACACGATCTCCGGCCCGAGTACTCCACTCAGAACGGCGGCAGGAGTACTCCGAGTGCGTGGGTAGCTTGTTTTTCTCCAGTAGTCTCACTGCCCAAACCTGCACCTTCCCGTCCCTACGACATGGGGAAAGTAACTATAGAGTAGCGATACCACGATAACCCACAATCTCCTTGCAGTAGTAGATTTACGCTTAAATCCAGCTACATGCGCGCGGTCTTGCGCTTATCTATAACTATACCTGAGTATATGCTACAAAGTGTAATGCAGCCTCCGGCCGCAAATTCGCTAAAGCTTAAGCCTAAGAGAGAGAAATTATACTGTCCAATCTATGTACGACCTCTGAGTGGATATTGTCATGTCCATTCTATCTACGAAGCCAATCATCCATGATATCTATAGATCTATATCAACAAGTCACGATCAGTACAAACTACCTACCTATGAAAGTGGATGTCGCATCCCTTCCGAGCTCGGGAGTGGCTCTTTGTCCACTATCTATTAGCAGTCATGGTAGAAGAAAAATCAACCAATCATAATGCTTCCCGACCACAATGAGGAAGATTATATGGTGCAAGAGGGAGTAGAGGGCGAACTTGTCAACCCTGTACACACCGGTTCAGTCAATTCTTTCATTGGCTCCGGGAAGCAAACATTGAAGAGCCTCATCTTTAACTCGACTTTATGGCTGTAAGGGCTACAATACTGAACCTGGTGTGAACAGGATTACAAGGTCGCCCCCCCCAAGGCCTCTCGCACCATACTATTTAGACGTACCTCAAATACTTACGCCTTACTAAACCACTAACGTGACACGTGGATGCACGTGGATGTAGGGTTAACTATCTAGTCGGCCCCTAGCTACGTGCAACACCTACAATTAATTGCGACCCAATCACAACACACACCTTCCACCTCCCACCACCCTAGCACCCATTCATTAATCCACCAACCCACCAATCCACCAATCCACCAATCCACCAATCCACCAATCCACCAATCCACCAATCCACCAACCCAACGACCTCCACGCCAAGCCGCACATCAAAGCTTACTCACCGGCCCCCACCCCCACCCAAGTGTAGATTCCAGCACTTTTTCCCTCCGGGCCTTGGCGAGAGCGAGAACCTGGTTGGTACAGCCAACGTCGTTCACCCCTGGCCTTCCCTTTGACGAATTATTCATACATGGGTAGTGCCCATTGAACCTCGGGGGTGGATCCGCGGGGGGGGGGGGGGGGCTGTATATACTTGTCCTTATATCCCCGCAGGATTCTTGGTTACTTGGTCAAGCTAGTAGCCGGCCGGAATATTATTGGATTACGGTTAGGTTTCGGTTTGCCAATTGGGGCAGCAGACTTGCACGGCACACTAGTAATACTAATGGTCCCGAAGCCGGCCACATGCACAATCCACATGGTGCCATGGCCGGAGGAGGAGACGGATAGTACAGGGTCGGCCATGACATACCAGCACCAACACCTCGTCAGAAGCCACATTCCTCCCATGCAGCTAGGAGGGAGGTGGGTAAGCCACTACTTACTGCCAGCCAGCCAACCGTCGTTATCGGACTATCTAGACCCACCACTTAAATATGGCACTACCACAGGCAATACCCCAGAAGGAACAGATAGAACATGCGTAGTAAGTCTGCCACGAGCACGTTCACGTCGCTATTCCCCGTCATATTTACTTCCAGACTAGTATACTCTAGCTCTACAGCGACAACGGTTAACCTCAAGACCACTCCCAGCGGTAGTTGAGCGGCCGAGTGATAATCCATGATTAACACCTAGGCCTCTCTCTGCCACATTCACAACCACCGCGGCCCCCGGTGGTTATCATGAGTGTAGTGTAGTGGTTACCACACCCGATTCTTCGACTAAATAGATCTCTCGCCACCACATGAGGCCACAGGACTACGGTTGTATTGTATCGCATTGCACTCACGCCAGCTGGCTAGCTAGGCTGTGTAGATGGAAGGGATCAAGCAACGTCAAGGTCAAGCGTCTATTCACTACCCTACCCTACCCTACCCCCCTTCCTCTACTACCCCCAACCCCTCCGCTCTTCCCCCCTTCCTCTTCCCGCCACACCAAAGCTAGCAAAAAAAAAAAATACAAAAAAGTCCCTTCCATTGCAATGCCCCATCCCGTAAATTACAAACCGCATCAATGTAAAACGTCCACTCCCAACAGTGCGTCCCCAGTGCTCAGTGTCAAATGTTCCAATGTTCCAATGTTGAATGTTCCAATGTTCCAGTGTTCCAGTGTTCCAGTGTTCCAGTGTTCCAGTGTTCCAATGCCAAGTCGTCTCGTCGCATCACATGTAAAACAAAAAAAAAAAAGAGTAGAAAAAGAAGGTAAAAAGGTAGAAAGAAGGAAGAAGCACCACAGCACAACACATCAGTACTAAAACCATAAAAAACGCATAAAAATAAAAAAAAAACGTAAAAAAAAAACTCCCAAACACTCAACAAAAGAAGAAAAAAAATCAAGCCCCAAAAGGCACTGTGAAAAAACGCAGCCACAGTTTTTTACAACTGAAAAAAAAAAGAATTTAAAGAAACACACAAAAGAAGACCCCAATTACCACCCCAGCACTAGAAGCTCCCATCATCCTGCACAAGCCTAACGCTCGGCGGCAGCATCTTCCTGCTAATCTCCCTCTTCTCACTAATGCCCACCACCGGCGGCGGCGGCCGCTTCGGCACCGGCCTCCCCAGCGCCGGCGGTGGTGGTGGCGGCGGTGGTGGCGCCTTCTGCGACCCCCTCGCACTCGGCGGCAGACTCTGCGGCCTCTGCGGCGGCGGTGGCGGGGGCGGTGGACGAGGCGCCGTAACCTCCACCCTAACCCTCTGCACCTTCTCCAACCCCCCCACCTCCTTCTCCCTCTCCCTCACCCTCTCCATCTCCATCTCCCTCCTCTCCCTCTCCCTCCTCGCCTCCGCCTTCTCCTTCTCCTTCTCCCCCTCCCCGCCGCCCTCCTCGTCGGTGGTCCACACCTCGAATCCGCCGAGGCCAATCACGTCCTCGCCGTCCGCGAACTTGACGCCCTTCTTGCGCCGCACACGGCTCTTGGCGCGCTTGCGCATGCCCTTGCTCTTGTCGGCGGCGCTCCCGTAGAGGTCGAGGTTGTTGTTGAGCTCGCTGTTGGCCTTGGTGAGGCGGTCCCACTCGGCCTCTGCCGCGGTCGTGGGCGCCAGCTGCGCTTCGTCCGCCGGGTCGATGTCGGGGGCTTCGCCGTTCAGGAGGGCGAGCTTCGCCGCGGTCTTGTCTTTCTGGTGCTGCGGGGCGGGAGCGGGGGCTGGGGCGGCGGTGGTGATGGCGGGGCGTGCGGGTGGTGCGGGTGGTGCACGGGGTGCGGGCGAAGGGGAGGGTGAAGGGGCTGGGGCTGGCTCGGGGGGGAGCGTGACGGGGAAGGCCATGGGGCTGCTGACGGGTCTGGGGGAGCGCGGGGGGGCGTCGATTGTGGTTGTTGAGATGGAGTTTGAGGAGGTGGAGGAGGGGTTTGCGGTGTAGGGACGGCAGAAGCTGGCGGCTTGGGACTCGGCGGAGAGGGTGCTGGCGGGGGAGGAGGCGCGGGTGGGGGAGGTGCTGCGGTGCGGGACGATGAGGTTGAACTTCTTGCGGACTGTGGCCCACTTTCGGGGCTTGGAGGGGGGGGAGGACATTGGTGTTGTTGTTGTTGTTGTTGTGGGGGGGTTTGTGGTGGTGGTGGTGGTTGTGTTTGGGGGGGGGGGGTGGTTGTTGGTGTGGGAGTGTTGTGGAGAGGTTGTGGTGGTTGTGGTGGTTGTGGTGGTTGTGGTGGTTGTGGTGGTTTATCGGGGTGTTGTGGAGGAGGTGTTGTTGTGGTCGTGCGTGGTCTTGGTCGCCTTGGTTGTGGTTACAGTCTTGGTCGGGGCGTGGTTGGTGTCGTGTGTCCAAGTGCAAAAAGTCCTACCACCAGCACAATACAGTCCAGTCCCTCAACGGCGTACAAAGGGGGTCAAGTAGCAAAACCGAAAGCGAAAGGCGAAAAGCGAAAAGCGAAAAGCGAAGGGGGCTGATATCCGCGCCAGGCGTGTATGTCGAACGTAAAAAACAAAAATAAAAAAAACAAGAATGCAATCAATCCGAACAAAGGTACGTCTCCAATACAATGGTACTCTCTCACACACTCGAGATCCAGTCCTTCTCCGGTCCACAATGGTACGGTCACGATCGAAAGAGGGAAGAGAAGAGAGGGAAGGAGGAGGGGGGGGTGGGAGGGGAGGGAGGTGGTGCTTCGGTAAGTAATATAGAGATTTTTTTTTTTCTTCTTCGTCTCTTTGCTCCGGGCTCCTGTTTTGTCCAGGGGCAGGAAGGCAGGCAGGCGATGGATGGATGAGATGGTGTGTGAGTGAGCGTGCGTGCGTGTGTGGGCGTGTGGGTGTGGGCGTGTGGGTGTGGATGTATGTGGGAGGTGTGTAAGGGAAGGGTGGTTAGTGTGTAAGTGGGCAAGTGGGCAAGTGGTAAGTGGTAAGTGAAAGGCTGGCTGGTTGGAAAGATAGCCTTTCTCTGCTTGTCCCTTCCCTTGCCTATCTATCTCCTCTCCCCAGTGCAGTGCAGTGCACCACTCTGCACCACCACCCCCCCCCCCGGCCCCTAATAATAGCAACAAACCTAGTTAACCGGTTCCTCAACCGGGGGGTGGATAAAGCAAAGAGGCACACGAGCAGAGCAGCAGATCAATCTGATAAGATGGGTCGGTGAGGACGCCGGACGCAGACGGAGTGGCCCGCCCCGCTTGCTCTCCGCCCGCCGGGTGCGAGTGGAGGTTATTTTAACCGTTCCTGCACTTTGTACGTTGTTTATTCACATGTTTCCCCCACCACTACCGCTCCGATCCACTACCGAGTTAGCCCCAGCGCAGGGACCACCCCCCCCCCCCCCGGGGGCCCGCACCCGGCACGGGAAACAGCACACCAAACCAGATCCCCTCTCGCCCACCCACCACCAACCGGAGAAACCTCCAGTGCAGTGCCACTCCACCACCCCACCCAGGCCAGGCCAGGCCAGGCCATTAACTGTAGTAAGCAGCAAGAGGCACAAACACAACATAAAACGCAGTCATGGGGGACGGACAGACTCGTAACCTACCTACCTACCTCTGGAAAGTAAGGTAGGTACAACCCCTCTTTGTACCTGCTGAGGTTATGCCACAAACCATCCTCTGCGCATGCACGCATGCATGCATAGACCTGCTCGTCTTGTTGTGTTTATGCACCCCATCTGTCTATCCGCGCCGCCGATGCTATGACACCTCCCTCCCCTCAATGGTGCTCTGCTCGATCTACATACGAGCTGGGAGGGCCAAAAATAACAGCCTCGGCTGCCAAGCCTCAGCACTTCCATGTACCGCGCGCACTTGAACTGTCTAGAGTAGAGTAGACTCAGTAGAGCATGGTTTGGTTGGACCTTGGAAGTGGAAGTGGGAGTGGAAGGGCGATAGATACCCGCCGCCCCCCCGCTAGTCTGTCTAGCTAGCAGCTTTCCAAAACGACGGCGGCCTCATGGAACGTCAAACACCCCACCAAGACATCAAGTTCTAACCAACCGAGCGAACGACCACCACCCCATCCAGGTACTATGGGCTCTACTTTAACCCAGCTAGTCAGGAACAAGCCAGGACAAAAAAAAAAATAAAAAATTGCTATATATACCTTGCGCCATCGAATCCCTTCCCCGTAACGTGCGTGAAACCTGAGACTTGACGTTTAACTAACGCCAACCCCCCAACGGTTGCAAAATAAAACGCAACAGAACCCTGGTTAGCCAGTGGGTTTGATGAGGCATAGGGATGGGCGGATGACTAATATAGCTCATGCCATATATATATCGCCGGGTAGAGAGGGATGGTCTAGATGGGATGATCTGGATGATATGTTTGGCGAGGCTGTTGGCGAGGCTGAGATTCAGTGGCCTCAGCTGTGGGATAGAGTAGCTGCGCATTGCCAGTTTGTAGCAGGGTAGATGTATTCGAGAACCAGCTACTCGCCCTACTAAGTAGTTACTAGTCGCGAGCCCTGACTATATCCAAGAAGCCCCATCTACATCCATATCCATATCCTCTGATCATTAAAAGTACATCTCTACTTTACATGTACAGTGGAGTCTCGATAGTAGCATATGGTCAGGAACGGATTTTCGCGTGCTACTATCGAGAGCATGCTTGCACCGAGAACGAACCCGCCCGCACCGACTCGTTTGGGGATTGCCCAACTATACATATGCTACAATCGAGGATACGCTATTATCGAGAATGCTACTATCGGGACTCCACTGCAGTTATGTAAAGTAACATGCAACACCAGGTTCCCACAACCCGCAACCCTGATCATGATGAACCTTGACCTTGCCTCTAAAGTATATCGACTCTCTCGCTCCAAAATACATAAACAGCGAGGAACAACTAAACGGTTTCCCGTTTTTCCCACTCCCATCCCAGCACATCCAGCTGGGGTACGTTTCAAGATGATCATCGACGTCGCGTCGTGTCCTGTTTTGGGTACAGCTACCATGGTGGCCGGCCATCTTGTATATACCTGCTGTTGCCCTGCGCCCGTTTCCCGTTCACAAAAAAAAAAGGGTTCCCCGTTATTCGCTTGCGATTGCGACTCCGACTCCGATTGCGATTGCGAAAAAAGAACCTGCCAAGTACCCACATGTATTAGATGTATCATTTTCCGACTAGAGTAGAGTAGATACGACAATGATCACCAGACTAGACACGCAAAGCAAAACAAAAAAAAAAAAAGAACCACAAAAAAGAAAGAATTCTAAAACAAAAACAAAACAAGTGCAAAAAGCAGGAACCGTCCAATTTCGATTTCCCCGCTCACACACCCTTCTTCTCCTTCTCCCCCGCAAATAGAAATTTTTTTCTTCCGTGATGCAAGGCACCACCTTGTTTGTTGCTCACACATGAAACATTTATGTAATAACCCTAGCCCTGGTAATAACCCTAACCCACGTATGGGTTGGTTGGTTGCAGTTACATCGATTATATTGTGGTAAGTAAACGATTCGGGGATGGGGTACATACGTCCATAACTTGGAATCGGGTGGTATTGGATTCTTGGTAAACCGGGAAGTGGTTTGCGCTTTTTTGGCAGATCCGGTACTCGTATTTTCCTGACGTTTGTGGACTGGCCGACTGCTATATATTGCACACCATACAAAAACGCGCCAAGTCAATGATTCAGTATGCTATGTAATAGCGGTTCCTTACGAGTATATCAGAGTGTTGAGCGCATGCGGTAGCTAGGTGATGTCAGCCATGATAAAGATATTACGACTTGTTTGCTCTTTGTCCTTTTTTCGAAGAAGCCATTCGTCCGGAGTAAGTACTGTCTGGGCAGATATCTTGTTTAACCTTTTCCAAGAAATGATATATGTTGAGATTGTTCTGCCATGGAAGATATTGCGGGATTGTTTTCAGCTCTTTAAGAGGCTGCAGAAGCCAACTGTAAACCTGCTTTTCTCTCTCTCTCAGAGTATTTATATCAAAGACAGTTGGCATGTCTTTGAAAGTCCGTCTTCCCGTTTGAGATATATTCTAATGTTTTATTAGATCATTACAAACAGCAGTTGGAGTTGTGCAGTACGCTCACCTCATATATAAGGACACTAACCGGCCTTTAAAATGAAGTTATCTTCTATACTACCGATCTTTAACCGCTGACCTTGTAAACCGAAATCATAAGAAGTGCCTGAACTTATTCGTGGTTAGCCGTCGGAAGCACTACGAGTCTTTGTGATCCTCGTAAATTGTCGAACCTCCACCCAAGACCCAAGAGTCAATATGATATCTTGTTTGACTACCAGCTGTGGGTCCTCCAAGATCCACCAGCCCCCACAGGGACTAAGCACAATGAGCCTACCCAGATATACACGCGTCAAACCGGTCCGGAAGGAAGTATCTAAATGTCCAATCAGAGACACCATAGATGAATCTCCGGCCCGACATAAAAAAGACCCGTTGGGGGCTATCAAATGACTTTTAGCTTGTTTTGCGACTAGTTAGAAATCTATCTTGGTTCCAAAAACGCGGATTATATATCGCAGGTCTGATCTATTGTGAATAAGGTTGATTAGTTAGCGTTATCCCGTACCGGGTCAACAGCATCTGGCTCAAGTCGATTCCGAGCCAATAAGATCAATAATCCAAAATTACTGAAGTTAGAACTCGCGTTGTCGTAAAATGTTTACTATCCCTTCTTCACAACAGCCCACAAAGCCGTGGAATTGAGCTTATGTGAGGATGCTCTCTTGCACCACCATCCTAGTACCCCCAACTCCGAAACCGGCCATCTACCGGTTCAGGTCAACCGGTAATAGAGTACTTTTCGCACCAACGTGCATAGGCTCAATCAGTATTCTGGGCTTTGCCCGTCAGGGCTTAGCGACACGACAGACCACAATGTCTTCAAAATACTCCTCCGTTTACTGACAGAATTTTCAACTCAATTCTCCATGGACGCGCCCTAAAACATTCCGATTGGTAGCTTTTCATATATATATCTGTAGGCCGACGGCGTAGACTCGCTAATATAATATACACTTGGCGCGAGAATGTGTTAATGTCAAAGCAGGCCCCCATGATCTGACATGTCTGCTTACTGGTGAATTAGTATTGACAGCCTTTATGGGA